TTGCTATCACGGCACTAGCCTCTGCAGGCGTTCATATTTATTATAGTCCACAACAGTACCATAGACATTGCGACCTGTCCACCCTACAGAGAGCATTTTTCAGATTTTCAGATGAAATAAGAGATTTCATATCAAGGTGGACTGAGAGGTCGAGTCGGGAGCTGCAGCAAAATGAGATGATCCACCGAAAAATCCAAGAAAGTGAAGCCAGGGTTGAGGGTTCAAAGACTGAACGTCTTCAGTTCACGTCGACGTACTGTAAGCAGCGGCTATATATACGTATAGCAGCACCGTAAAATCTATGCGACTGTGCAGTGTGAAATTGATGAGCATACTTGATGGGAAATAAAGCTCTCATGAGAATGTCCGCTGTTTCACAGATAAGCCATCCAATAGCCGTTCCGTTTTTTCCAAAACTTTTCATACTTTTTTGATTTTTGATTGTGTTTCGTTTGGATTTTTGATTCCTGTTTGCGTTTGTTTGAAAATTTGCGTGGATATATGTGTAGTTGAATTGGTTGAAGGCAGATCTTCTAAGGGGCACAAGACACGGATAAACTGGTAGCCGGCTTGAAATGGTAGCAGGGGTGCAATATAGTGAGAAAATGGTGGAAAAGAAAGTGAAACGGTCAAAAACCTGCAAAAAGCCTTGAGTCTAAAGAAATCAGAAAGGAATGAGTTTGGACGAGTTTTCCGTTGACATCGTTCCCATAACCGCTACATTAGGTGCAGTATGTGCTACTCATATATAGTAGCAACACTGCACCCTTTTATATTGACCCCCTCGCTCCATATTGCACTCCACTAATGATGCGATAAAGAGCATTAGCATGGGTCGTCCAGTTGGGGCGCGTGGGTATCCGAGCAAGTATGTTGCAGCTTGATAGGGCCCTTCCAAGGTCCTTAAAAGGCGCCACACAGCGCCTGCTCAGGGGCGCCGAATTCTGTCCTCCTGGGCAAATTGATCCTACACGTCTTGGGGAATTATTGTGGCACTTGCCTTCAAAAAGAAGCGAAATGAATTTCTCCTACCAGTACTTAGGTAAGCCAAGTGCAGCCTTTCGGTGTAAAATGTGATGTAGGCAGAAATTTTGGTCAGAAGTTTGCTAAGTTTTTTTGCATACCTAACGAATTCTGGCAGTATTTTCACCACAACATTTTTGGAGGAATATCGGAGAACCATTACGATCGTGAGAACAGTCTTCCACAGCACACATATAAATCTCTGGTTAATGTGAAGTTTTATCATTCATAAAAACGTTACTACTCCCTTGGAGTACAGAATGAATTCAAAAACCACCTCAATGCAGATTTCACAGTAGCATAAAACGAAAGATCACTAGCAGCTATCACGAGTTTCACGATCGTGTACTCTGCGAGTCAGCACACTTCACCGTTTTACAGGTTCAATTGGTGGGGGCAGGGGGAGGGGGTGGGTATGCAGCCAGGAGAGTTTCTTTCAAATGGAGATGTTTCTTCTAGTTGTCCGCGCTACCGCTGCTGATCGATCAAAGGTGCCCAGTCCATCCTCGCTCGAAAGATAAACTTTGAAGAATACCAGTAAGATGGTTAATGGTGCGAGAAAGGGTCCTACCGAGATCCTCTCACTGAAATATCGTGCTGGCAGCGCCATCCATGCTCTCTATCATGAGCGGCTTCGTTTTAATGCTCTTACAGTAACCTTTATCGAGCCACATTACGTTCTGTAGTAACTGAATTACAGTCGAAATTTCGCTGGGCCATGAGGTACACATTAGAGCCAAGATTCCGGTCGAGAAGAACTTTCAGAAATCAACCAAACGATCATCTGCCCTAATGTCCGCAGGACTCACATGCGAGTAGTAATAGGAATCAGAGGTCCAAAAGAGCTTCTAATGGTTTTCTCGATTACGTTAAAATTGTGGACTGCTCGATACTGATCGATCAAACTCACATGCTATTAATAATAAAAACCTCATAAAAGGTAAAATAAAGTAAATCATCTGAACATTACAAAAATGAAAATAGCAATATATTTTTGATAAGCAATGTATAAATAAATAAAACACCGCCCAATTAGATTGCCTCAAATTACCACGCATTACTAATACCACACTGAACATTTTATTAATCTGCCAGGCTGCCGCAACAAATAAATTGGCTGAGCAGCCCGATCGATGCAACTGGTCGGGATCATGCTCTTTACAAATTTGAAATCTTCAGCAGAAGTGATAGAGAAAACCATCAGAAACCTATACGAACTTCTAGACCCTTGAGAATAATGATGTTATTCAAATATCATAAGCGCGGGGCAGGGAAGTAATTCCGCCTGTACCCACAGCGTGGGTGATGGTTGTTATCCGCGTGTGGTAAGTGCTGCGTCTAACAAGGGAGGTCGTTCAGGATGTGGTGAGCTTTTTGGGAACGATTTATTGCATGATGTAGGGTCCATACATGGACCACACAGATGGGGTTCATTTTTGCTAAACGCTATTGGGAATGCCAAAAAAAATGAATTAAACAAACTGCTCAGAATAGGAAACTTAAACATCTTATTCGGCTCTGTTTTAGCTGTAAGCTGCGTACAGCACAGTATAGTTTATGAGGTGTTCCTCAACTACCTCATAAACTCAGGACACCGGATTACCCCTGTTGGCAACGTGGCAGCAAAAAATTTTCTTTGACTTTTTGGAGTAGTAATAGTTGAAGTGAAAAAATATGGAAGAACTATCCGCTTACCTGGTAGTCGGAATCCTTTAGCT